GAGGCATCCAGAGCCATGTTGCTGGTGCCATTCTGACAGTAATATTGCAGGGGCTCCTGGGTGGTGCAGTGGGTTGAGTGTTTGGCTCAGGTCACAATCTCACGGTCATGAGATCGAGCCCAGCATCAGGCCCCGAGCTGGGCGTGGAGCCTGCTAAAGATTCTCTCTCTAGGGGCGCCTGGGTGGCTCAGTCAGTTAAGCGTCTGCCTTCCGCTCAGGTCATGATCTCAGGGTCCTGGGATCGAATCCCGCATCCGGCTCCTTGCTCAGCAGGGAGTCTGCTTCTCCCTCTCCCTCTGCCCCTCCCCACCCCTCGTGCTTTCTCTCTCTCTCTTATGTAAGTAAATAAAATCTTTGCAAAAAAAAAAAGATTCTCTCTCCCTCTCCTTCTGCCCCCCCCACTCTCTCTCTCTAAATTATATATATAGTAACAACATTACAGACAGTGACGCCATTTATCGTGATGAGCACTGAGGAAGGCATAGAATTGTTGAATCAATATGTGGTGCGTCTGAAACAAGTAGAACAGTGTGTGTTAGTTTAAAAAAACTTTTAAGTTTAAATTAAAAATTAAAAAAAAATGAAGTCTGGTATAGCTTAAAGTAAAACGAAGCAAAACAAAACACCAGCTCTGCATTGCAGTTTGTTTTAGTTGGTTGTTCCCGTCGTTTTCATACACACCATAGAATTTTACGTCTTGCTCTTTTCACTGCGCATTTTAGCAGAAGCATTCCCCAGCTGTGGTTTCCCGGGCTTCCCGCTCCATCACTGTGTGCCCGAGCGGTGACAGGCTGTTGCCAGTCATTCTGCTGCTGCCGCGCAGCTCAGATATAAACCCTCAGCTTCAGAGCGCGTGGTGCGTTTTCGACTCTGATGGGATGCTTCCCAGTCTAATCTCCCCATCTCTCCCATCAAAGTGAGAGAGGGAGAACGGGAGAGGTCTCCCTCCCCATCTTCAATGGGAGAACAAATGCTCAGTCATCTTCAGCGTGCCATCTGCAGATGGGAAAGCAACCTCTCTATGTATTTAATTAAAAGCCCGTCTCTTCTGTTGGATATCCATATTGGGTTATCGGTGTGTGTCTGTCTTCCCGTAGTGCAGGGACCGACCGTACCCAAGAGCGTTGACTCTCTCGTCCTGAGTATCAACAACCAGCAGAGAAAGTCGGCACCCAACGTTGTCAGTTATTAATGGATGGGCAGCACGGGAGTGGGGCATTGAATGCACATGATAAAGGCAGAATCAGCCAGATGTGACTAGGATGATTGAAAATTGTAAGGGCTTTGACAAAGAGTTCGTTTAATCCAGTGGTCATTGGGGCCCCAGGGAAAAGCCGGCCTGCATAGAGCAAGTGATTAAGTCTCTGGATTGAGAGGGCCCTGGAATCCAATTTTGACTAATGCCTGCTGGGACCTGGTTTCGCGTGGCACTCCCTCGTCCAGCATCCCGGCTGAGAACGAGGCCTTCTGGCTGCGAACATTGCAGCCCACAGACAGACACTCATTTGTCTTGAACAAGGCCTTGAGTTTGGAGCCAGCCAGCAAGATCCCACCTGTGAACCCTGAGGAGGAGGCAACATGGAGGCAGGGAGGGAAATTTACCTGGTGGATCCGCAACTCCCCTTGGCAGTTAGGTCTTCAGTGGGAAAGAGCTGACTCAACCCAGGCAGATTTACTTCCAAAAAAAGCCTAATTGCTGCTATGGTTAGCACCCATTTTACCATGGGGAACCCAGAGCTGGGCGCAGGGGCTGTGGGGAGGAAGCTGATCATGGACTCCTTTCTCTTACATTCCCTCCTTCTCTGGTGGGCTGCTTTGGATCTAGACAGGCTGGGGCGGCCAGGGGAGGTCACAGGCCTTGGAAAGCATCATCACCTGCGGCCCAGACCTACACCCGGGTTCCTGCCGCCTGCAACTTATAACACTTCGAAGGCAAAACTAACAAGGACAGAGTAGAAAGTCAGGCAAGATCACAGGTTCCAGAATGAGCTCTTCTGATCACTCCGATGGTAAGAGTCATGGGGGATGGACTCTAACAGTTCTCCACTTTCAAGCTCCACCCCTGGAGATTCAGGTGTCAGGGGTCTGGCAGGGGAAACTAACAAATGCGTATTTTAACAAGGAACGCATGGAGGGGTGAAGGGCATCATTTGGGAGATTTGAAAAACACTATAGCCCACCCCCCCAGCAGGGAAGCAAAAAAAAATTGAGGATTGGGGGGTGGTCTTTGGAGGGGGCCGCCGCTTCAAGTTGAAGGACGAGAGGCTGTCAGTGATAACAGCACCCCGTGATACTTAACAAAACGGCTAGCATGGTCTTTGGCATCAGGAAAATTGAGGCTGGAAACCCAGCTTTGCTGTGTGACCTTGGAAGGTTAACTCAGTATCCCACAGCCTCACTTTGCTCATCCGTAAAATAGGAATAATTTTTCCCTAATAAGGTTGAGAAAGAATAAAATGAGGTAATGGGTAAAAAAGCATTTAGCACATGGCTGGCACTTACGCAGCACTCAGCAAAGCAATCAAAAATAAAACGTTATAAGTATCGCTATAATTACGGCCAAGGGCATGCCGATGTGCTTTAAATCATTCGTATTCCATCCTTCCCCTCCCTCAACTCCGTCACTTGTAATCAGGGGGACATTTTTGTGAAAGGACGGGCAGAAACTAATATAGCCACAGGACCCAACAAAACTCACAAGCCAGGGTCAGGATCAAAGCACTCACTCCGCCCTCTCTGGCAAGATTAGCAAAAGACTCGAAGAATAATTGCCAATTACCTGATCGTTCCCCAGATCAACAGAGTCCGAGCTGGAGGACCTGACTAGTGTGACCTAGTCTGGCTGTCCACTTGACACAGAGAAGATGGAGAGAAGATGAAACCCACACGGTTATGCTAGGGAGGATCAGCCAAAGTTGGAGCACCATCTGGGTCCCCCAACCCCGGGTGCATCCAAGCTCCACGCATCAAACCACAGCTGGAGCCCTGGAGCCAGGTGTCCTGACCCCTCCCCCTCCTTCCTCTCTCTTTTGGCCCCTTTACTTTTTACTCGCTGCACAGTCTACAGAGATGGTCAGCATCAATCATTTAATAAAAGTGACAGTACACACAAAAAGCACAGCTCTGGGGTAGACCCACATCTGATCTAATCCTATGAGGTGGATGGGATAGCTCTGTTACGCAGAAGAGGCTTAATGGATTTGCTCAGGCTCACGTAGCGAGGGGACTGTTGAAGGCGGGATTCGAATCCGGGTCTATCTCTGAAGCCTCGATGCTTCCCACCTCGGACCAGGAAACCTGCTGGGCCCCTGAATGACCTTGATCTGCCCTTGGGTCAGGCACACACTCCCTGTCCTCCCCCGGGCCGGTTCCTGCCCTGGAGCAACTGGGAGCCTGGCATGCACACTGGCTGGTAATCAATGTGACCCAACAGGAACATTTGTCGATGCCAATTGCAAACCGTTGCAGTCTATATAGATTAAGCCACTGCCGGCCGACTCCATGAAAGTAAATGAGCCTTTCCAACGGTGGCGGAAATAAATTTAAATGACAGTGCTGAAGGGCCCAGAGACTGTGGCTGAGTGAGTGTCTGTCTGCAGAAAATCGACAAGGACAGCTATCAGTCCCAGGGCTTCCAGCCCAGGATATAATTCCTCTCTATCTCGAGATCATCATCGGGGAGGCTCTGACCGCTCCGGCTTCCCACTGAAGGGCGCAAATACAATGACAATAGCAAAGACAGTGACAGCAGTTGGCGCGCACTAAGCACTCACTGTGGGAGGGGCACCCATAGGTGCACGTATGCAGGTACGTTTTACCTGTGTCAACCTATTGAACAATGACGACCCTGGGAAACGGGGAGCAATAGCCCCGTTTTACAGCTGGGAAAACTGAGGCTCGGGGACGTCAAAGCCATGTGCTAGCTTGCAATTGACAGAAGGTGGGGGCGCCTGGGTGGCTCAGACGGTTAAGCGTCTGCCTTCAGCTCAGGTCGTGATCTCAGGGTCCTGGGATCGAGTCCCGAGTCGGACTCTCTGCTCAGCAGGGAGCCTGCTTCTCCCTCTCCCTCTGCCCGCTGCTCTCCCTGCTCGTTCTCTCTCTCTGTCAAATAAATAAATAAAATCTTAAAAATAAATAAAATAAATAAATAAAATTACTAGGTGGTTTTACATTCAAGGCAAAAATAAATCACAGGTAGCTGGGTATACAGTGCCCAGCAAGGCCTGGCCCTGCGACCACCCTACCCTACCAGCTTTCTCTCCAGTCACCCTCTATCTGCTACCCCTCGTATTCCTCTTTTGTGCTCCCCTCAACTAGGCCTCCATGCTCCTCCTGCATCCCTCTGTTCTGAACCTGTCTCATGATTCTGAATCTTCAAATCTTTCTGTGTCTCCCATAGGTCAATTTTTAATTATTCAGTAAAAAAAAAAAAGAAGTGCCACCCCCCCAATCCCAGGACAATATAGTCCTGAGCCAGGGCACACAGCTTGGAGAAAAGAGCGTGGGCTTGTTACAACTCGTCCTTCGTGGGAGATGCTTGTGCAATGAACAACCTGCCCAACTGTACACGGTGGTCCTGCCCCACAGAGTTAGAGGCCTGTTGTCTCTGCTCTGTTAGCATGCAGAGCTTCTCTCTTTCTAAGCATCTATCACACCGAATATGATTATTTCTCCTTTCCTATTACCCCTTTCAGTACATATACAACTGGCATGTGAGACTCTTGTGCCCTTGGTTTCTGTAACCCTGATGCTTAGCTGGGGCCTGGCAGGATCAACTGTAAGTCTCCATGGTCAGCAAAAGGAACAAAGGAAGGGAGCGGGAGAGAGAAAGAAAAGGAGAGGGAGGGAGGGTCAGGAGAGAGGGAAGGGGGCAGCCCCCATGTCTGTCCTGGTGTCTTGGCAAGCTCTGGGCGCCACCCTAGGCCCCTGCATCAAGAGCTGGAGGATCTAACCCCCACCCCGGCCCCAAGCTAACAGGTGTCTTTTCTCCTCTTCCCCAGATGCGCCCCGGGAAGGAGACACTGGCCCTTCGGGTGCTTCCCTTCTGCCCTCGGGAGCGCTGGGGAGTAGCAGCAGTCTGAGCAAAGAGAGCCTCGAAGAGAGAGTGACTTTGGCCCCTCTGAATCCAGCGCAGTCGGGGGAAGATCTTCTAGAGCCAGGGCTAGAAGGGGCAGCCCCTTCGGCCCCCCTGTCCACGCGGCTGCCGGAGGAGGCCGCCACCAAGCGCGCCCTCCCCTCCGGGAAGAAGCTGCCTTCGCTCAAGCAGGTGAACTCGGCCAGGAAACAGCTGCGGCCCAAAGCCACCTCCACGGCAGCTGTCCAGAGGGCGGCGTCCCCGCCTGCATCCTCAGGTCTGGGGCTCCTCTCCTCCGCCACCGAGAAGCCCCGCCCCCCGGGAGAACCCGAGCCCGCCGCCTCCGAAGAGCCCCTCTGGCTGGACCGGAAGGCAGGTGCGGTCCCCACGACGCCTGCACCCCTGCAGATCTCCCCCTTCACCTCGCAGCCCTACATGGCCCACACGCTCCCCCAGAGGCCCGACCCCGGGGAGGCTGCGGCGCCTGATGACGCCCCCGAGGCTCCCCCAGAAGATGCCAGTCCCATGACCTTAATGGACAAAGGCGAGAACGAACTGACCGGGTCAGCCTCAGAGGAGAGCCAGGAGACCACGACATCCACCATCATCACCACCACAGTCATCACGACTGAGCAGGCCCCCGGTACGCAGCTCCCAGACCCTCCAGCCCTCCTGCTGCAGCCAGGAGGCACCCGCTCTTGTGCAAGGCATGGCGGGAGGTGGGCCAAGGAGATCCAGGCCCCACCATCGCTTACCATCTATTGAGCATTGACTGTGAGCTTGACCCTGTGTCTCAGAATTAATATCCCCATTTTAAAGATGAGACAATTGAAACTCAGAGACATCAAGCAAGTTGCCCAAGGCCACACAGCTCAAGAGTGGGATTCAAACCCTTTTCAGCTTGGAATAGAATCCTTTAACCTGCCTGAAGGCCCTAGCCTTTTCAAAGTGCCTTTTTTTTTTTTTAAGATTTATTTATTTGTTGAGAGAGAGAGAGCGTGTGTGCGCGTGCGCGCGTGCACATGGGGGGAGGGGCAAAGGGAGAGGGAGAGAGAGAATGTTAAGCAGATTCCCCCCTGAGGTGGAGCCTGATGCCAGGCTCGATCTCAAGACCCCGAGACCACCACCCAAGCCAAAAGCAAGAGTCTGACGCCCAGCCACTCCACCAGCAGGCGCCCCTCAAAGTGCTTTTACTTTGACCATTACAGGTACTTCTCCAGACTTGATAAAATGCACTTCTGTGTCCCAGTCTTACTTCTGTCTTCTTTTCTGTCTTCAAACAGAGAAGACAGACACCAACTTTTCAACCGTAGGTGGGTTTTGGACAAATGCATTATGGCCTCTCCTTAAAAAGTATAAGCTCTGGGTTTGAATCCTGCTGCCTGTGTGAGCTTGGCCCAGACACCGCCCCTCTCTGAGCTTCGGTTTACGTATCTCTAAAATGGGAATGAAATGTCAGGTCCTACAAGGATGAATGGGGTGGGCCCTGTACACTGGTTAAGATGGTGCCTAGTGGTATGGAGTAAGCAGTCATGCTGTATCAACTCTCGCAGTTTTGATTTTCATGTTGATTCTGGGGCTGGAGGAGAATTAGCAGCAGTGGGAGGAAGGGGCACAGGTGAATTCAGGTGTCCCAGAAGCCGGGGGCCACACTGCGGCCCAGCTGAGACATGACATCTGAGCTGTCCTCTGTGTCCTAATGGAAGTCCTTCTTCCAGCTCCCTGCAGTGTGAGCTTCTCCGATCCTGAAGGGTACATCGACTCCAGTGACTACCCACCGCTGCCCCTCAGTAGCTTCCTGGAGTGTATGTACAACGTGACGGTCTACACTGGCTACGGTGTGGAGCTCCAGGTAACTGCAGAAAGGTGCCCAGATAGTGCCTGCCTCTTCCAGCAGGAAGTCTCCGGAGGGTTGTCTGACTCAGGCTTACTGTTATCATCCTAACTGGTTTGGTTCCTTCTTTGCCCTAAGCAGGGCAACTTGAGCTGGGCTTTGTTGAATGAATAGGAGTTCCGAACTCAATGCACAGCTGAAATAGGCATATGTGGAGGAGGGGGACCTGTTGATAAATTGTGGGGCATTATACTCAGAAGGAAAGTCCTCTTATACCCTGTATCAAACACAGACACACACACACACACGCACGCACACATGCACACACACACACACACAGGGAAGCCCCAGCAATTCAATTTGATTCATAAAATTTTGCCTGTAAGTGAAGAATGGAAAAGCAGAGTGGCATAGTGCTCAAACATCTGGGTTTAAGTCCCAGCTCTACCCGTGAAAACTGTGTGACTCTGGGCAAGGGACTTTACCTCTCTGAGCGTCAGTCTCTCCATCAGGAAAATAGAGATGATAATGCTCCTACTTTACAGACTTTCAGGGTGGTACAAACATGACAATGCCCAGAGCATTCAGCCAGAGAGCCTAGCTCAGTGTGTGTTACCAATTATCCTCACCCTAGTTCCTGGCCTTCCCCAACTGACCCCCCCCATTTTTGAAAAAAGGAACAAGGAGGGGTGCCTGGGAGTGGAGAACTGTCCAGTTCACTGCCCCACAGGAGAGGACTGGAAAAGAAAGCTCGTACCACTTCGTGGTGGCAGACCCTTCCAGGCCAAGGTTGGAGGTCTGGATATATACCTTTTTCTAATGGACAACAAAAAGCCATCAAAAGTTTTTGAGCTGGGCTGGTTGTAACCTAACCAGAACTTTATTTTAGGGAAGTTTTTCTGATTTGCATGGGAAGGATAAAAGGTGAGCCCCTCAGCAGCAGGACCTGTGGTCTTTGCAGCCCCCAGAGCTTAGCACAGTATGTGGCACATAGTAGATACTTCATAAACGTTCATGGAATTAAAATGAGCTGGAGGAAAGTTACAGTCCATCTGAATCTGGCACTCAGTGGTCCCTTTCCTTCCACTTGGTGTCTAACACTGTATGGAGCTCTTTACCAGGTACAGAATTCCTTCACTGAGTACCTACTATGTACCAGTCATGGCTACTTACACTGGGGGACATGGTGGTGTGCAAACTGATGCAGTACCTCCCCTAAAGGAGTTCACTGTTTTATGATTGAGACAGACATACTTAGAAGACATTAGAATGCTTGAAAAGGTCTCTTGTGGGTATTTATAGGGGATGTTACAGCATCACAGTGCACAGACGGGCAAGCTCCTTGGTAGCAGGGAAGGTCTCACAGGGAAGGGCAATATTAGTGGGGCTTTGGTGAATGAATAGGAGTTCATCAAAAAGGAAAAAAGAGTAACGTGTATAATCTGCAAGAGGAAGGGCTCGTGGGGGAGGCCAGCCCTGCTTGGGTGAGGGGCAGAGGGGCCGGGATCCCAGACCTCACTAGGAGAGGCATAAAAATCCTAACTGGGCACTGGGAACTGACTAAAGTTCCCACACAGCCCCTATTCCACTTGTATAATGTCTTTGTGTGCAACTAAAGTATCCCCCCTCTTTCTCCTCCAAATCTGGAAAGTGGACTTGGAAAATCCAGTATGCAGTTCTTTGCAGAAGTTCTGGGAGTTAGAGCCACTGTTTTATAGCATAAGAAAGTGGCTTTGAGAATGCCCTAGAAATGAGCCCCCCACTCCCTCTTACCAGTTCATGCAGAAAGGGGAAGAATGAATTCAACCTACATAAATATTTATTGAGCACCTGCTATGTGCCAAGCACTCTTCTGGGCACTGGGGACACGGAACAAATGGGAAAAAAATGCCTGCCTTTGTGGAGCTTACATTCTGGTGGAATGCCGTATTCTGTCTTCCTGGAGTTTGGGCTTCAGGCACAAGCTGATCAAGCCCTTGCCCTCCCCCCACCATCTCCAGGAGAACTTACTCCAGCTGCCAGTGTGCAGGAGGCTCTCTTACAGGACTCATCCATGGACACTTACAGATTTTTGCAATACCTTTGCCATGCAGCTTGGGTTCACGCTGGTCCCTCAGTCCTTGGGGAGATGAGGGGAGTCTAGATGTTTCCAGGGCTCTAATTGTTTCCAAGGGGGCTTGTCTGTCCCCTTGACTAGGGGCTGGCTGAGGGCTGCTGTGTTGGCATCGTCTGGGGTCCTCTGGCAGCTGCACGGCCTGGAAGGACCCTGTCTCAAGCACAACTCAGAGTTTCTCTCCGTCTGCCCCTGCCTGTTCGCAGGTGAAGAGCGTGAACCTGTCTGACGGCGAGCTGCTCTCCATCCGCGGGGTGGACGGTCCCACCCTGACTGTCCTGGCCAACCAGACTCTCCTGGTAGAGGGACAGGTTATCCGAAGTCCCACCAACACCATCTCTGTCTACTTCCGGACCTTCCAGGATGACGTCCTTGGGACTTTCCAGCTGCATTATCAGGGTAAGCTTGCACCAAGGCTAATGGTGAGGGGGGGGGGAGCGGTGGCTGTTTCCCTCTGGAGCCAAGGATTCTCAAACTTTTCATGCCAGGGATCCCTCTGGCAGTTTGGTAAAACCTCTGGACTCCTTCTCAGAATCATGTTTTTGAAAGCATAAAATAAAACCTACGCAATTAAAAATGAAACCAGTCAGATTGAATTACAGTTGTCAAAATACTGTTTTAATCTGCAATGTCATAATCCCTGTGCTTCTTTATTAACACATTAAATAATAATCTCCCCCGGCAACTCTGATAATTACTATAATTCCAAAGTACTGAGGAACATGAGAAATATGCCAAGATATCTACTATGATATAAAAATGTCTGTGATTTCTCTTGGTGACAAAGTCACAGGTTCTGCAAATAGGTCACAGTCTGTTGCCTACATATGTGGTTGAAGGAAATACCACAGTTTGGTTAAAGGTAAATGGAAAACCAACAAACCACTTTTTTCCACTCAGATCCGCGGCTCCTGAATTTTATAAATGAATCCCCAGGGGGGCCCACAGACTTCCAGTAAAGAGCCTCAACCCCCGGGGGTCCGGCTCTCTCTTTTCTTCTGCAATGTTTCTTTCTTTCCTTTTTGTCTGTTTCTGAGACTCCTCTCTTGCTTTCTGTTCATCTTGCTCTTCTCTCTCCCTTCCTTCCTTCTTCCTTCTCGGTCTCCTCTCTCTTTCCTTGCCTCTTTTACTTCTTCCTTTCCTTCTCCCCCTCTCTTCTTTCCTTCCCTCCATTCTCCCTTCCTTCTGGCTGGCTGACTCTCTCTCTCTCTCTCTCTCCCTCTCATCCCATTTACCTACCTCTGGAGCCCTTCCCATGACCTCAGGTTAGTTCCCTGAGCCAGAAGCTCCTCTGTATCCTTGCCAGATACCTGCACGGAGAGTGGAGTCCGCCCTCACACATCTGGATATTTGGGCACTGTCCATGTTGGCATCATACTGACTGAACATCTGGAAAAACAGTTCTCTTGAAACTTTGCCCTTGGATGTTTCTGAAACAGGGGGATGAGTGTCTATGAGAGTACCTGCCTCATCACCACTTTCCAAGACTGAGACAACCCGCTGTTGTCTTTGTTCATTACAGAATGGGGGTGAAGAAATAGCTTGTAGAGCCCTTGGGTTGGATGTAATCCTCTCAGTGAGTTCTGGGATTACCGATATCTCATGCAGCGGGAGTGATGAGACCATACAGCCGAAAGGGGCAGCTAGGATGGATTTCACATCCTCTTAGGAAAATTGAGGAGCTCAGCACGGCCACCTAGAGCCTTCTACAGCTCCCAGCTAGATGTTGGACTAAGGAGGCTCTATCTCGGTGTTTCCTGCTTAATCCTTACTGCCACCGGTGAGGTAGGGATGACTGTCAACTCCACGGAAAGATGAGGAGAGCCAAGTTCAGGGCACTGTGTCCCTTTCTCAAGGTCACACAGTTTCTAAGGGCTGGAGGAAGAACATAAACTCACATTGGTCTCCTCCAAAGGCCACGCCTGTGTGTGCCAGGATGGTTATTTTCAGGCTGTCCTATCCTTTAGTATTTCCTGAAGAGCTGCCTATTCTAGTTCTGGTCCAAGCATGTGTGCATTTTTAACAAACACCGAAGATGTTCGTGCTGGTAGGACTAAACTTACCTGAGTCATACGGCCCCTCTTACGCCCAAGGAGAAGGCCGTTCTGCGTCCACATGGAGAGAGGCTCACAAGAGGTGTGGGAACTCATTTTTCACCCCAAACCTGTGGTCTCTGGTTAGACAGGGTGGGGACCTTGGAGCCCAGAAAAAGTGCCGATCTGGCGGTCTCCTCATCATATGATCAACGAGAGTTCCAAAAATACCCACATACCGCCCCCCGCCAGTCCGCTCTGGAGTCCACAGGGGCCTCATCTTTTCTCCTCAGCACAAATTGGCTCCCGGGATGTGGGTCACGTTCTTCCTCTCCCCGCTCCTAAGGGATAACCGTCTGCCTTTGCATTTCTTCCAGCCTTCATGCTGAGCTGCAATTTTCCCCGCCGGCCCGACTACGGGGATGTCACGGTGATGGACCTGCACCCGGGCGGGGCGGCCCACTTCCACTGCCACCTGGGCTATGAGCTCCAGGGCGCCAAGACGCTGACTTGCATGAATGCCTCCAAGCCACACTGGAGCAGCGAGGAGCCCGTCTGTTCAGGTACGCTCCCACCTCACCGGACCAGACATGGATAGTCCCCTCAGAGGCGAGACAACAACCCCAGGGCATTAGACTGACCTCAGGGATAGGTGCACAGCCCAAGGGAAGAGACTGCCCCCAAGACGGACAACTGCTGCCATTGAAATCTTTAGTTTGTGAAAAAGTCCACAGCACCTAAAATTTACCATTAGCCACATTTAGCACATCTGAAACGTCATGCAACCATCACCACTCTGTAGCTCTAGAACATTTTCATCACCCCAGAAGGAAACCTTGTACTCATTAGCATTCGCTCCCCACTTTCCCCTCCCCCCACAATGCTTGGCAACCACCAACATGCTTTCTGTGTCAACGGATATGCCTATTCTGGACATTTCGTGTAAAGGAGGTCATATAATACCTGGTCTTTTGCAACTGGCTTCTTTCGCTCAGGATCATGTGTTTGAGATTCACCCATGTCGTAGCATGGGTCAGTAGTACCTTCTTCCTTTTTGTGGCTGAGCCATATGACCTTGTGTGGTTATTGGTGTATTCACTGGTGGACGCTGGAGTTTTTCCCACTTTTTGGCAATGATGAGCAACGCTGCTGTGAACATCTGTGTACCAGTTTTTGTGTGGACGTATGTTTTCTTTTTTTTTTTTTTTTAAAGATTTTATTTATTTATTTGAGAGAGAGAGAGAGAATGAGAGAGAGCAAGCACATGAGAGGGGGGAGGGTCAGAGGGAGAAGCAGACTCGCTGCCGAGCAGGGAGCCCGATGCGGGACTCGATCCAGGGACTCCAGGATCATGACCTGAGCCGAAGGCAGTCGCTTAACCAACTGAGCCACCCAGGCGCCCTGGACGTATGTTTTCTTTACTCCTGGGTCCACACCCGGCAGTGGAACCGCTGGGTCATATGGCAGTTCTCTGTTTAACTTCTTAAGGAACTGTAAAACTCTTTCCCGCAGAGGCTTCTCCTTTTGGCTTTCCCATCCAGCTTGTGTGAGAGTTCCGATTTCTCCACATCCTCGCCAGCACTTACTATGTTATTATGTTTTGTTTTCATGATCCTGGCCGTCCTGGTGGGCGTGAAGCTTTCTCATTGTGGCTTTGATTTGCATTTCCCTGATGGCTAATGATGCTGAGCAACGTTCCTGTGCTTCCTGGCCATTTGTAGATCTCCTAAGAAAAGTATCTATTCAAGTCCTTTGCCTGTTGTTTTTTTTTTTAACTTTTTGTCTTTTTATTGTTGTTCTTTATATATTCTGGATGTTAGATCCTTATCAGGAATGTGATTTGCAAATATCTCGTCCCACCCTGTGGGTTGTTTTTTCACTTCTTTTTTTTAAATTTATTTATTTATTTGAGAGAGAGGGAGACCATGAGCAGGGGGAGGGGCAGAAGGAGAGGGAGAGAGAGACTCCACAAGTAGACTCCCTACTGAGTGCGGAGCCCGACTCCACCTGGGGCTCGATCCCAGGACCCTGAGATCACGACCTGAGCCGAAACCAAGAGTCGGAGGCTTAACTGACTGCGCCACCCAGGCACCCCATGTTTTTTTGCTTCTTGATGGTATTCGCTGATGCAGAAAAGCTTTTCATGTTGACAAAGTAGCATTTATGTGTTTTCTTCTTCTGTGGCTGTGCTTTTGGTATGCCTGCTGCCACATTTTGAACCCAGTCAATAGATACTGAGACGTTGCCAGGGCTGCCATAAATGTTCACAGCAATACTACGTGATGAGAACCATTACTTCCATTTTACAGATGAAGAAACAGAGGCTCATGGAGGTGAAGTTACTTGCCCAAAGTCACCAGACAGAAATTGAAACGAGTCCAGAGCCCTTCTCTCCTGAGCTGTTTTTCTCAAAGCGTGGTCTACAGACCAGCAAGATGATTACCGATGTATAATCTTGGGCCCCCTACAGGACCAGCTGAATCAAAATCTACATTTTAGCATGCCCTTGTGTGATTCGCACGCACATTATAGATTGAGGAGCTCTGGGTTATGTCACACCGTCCCTGTACCCCTAGGCATAGCCTTGACCATCCTCAACTATCAAGAGAGCAAAACCCTATTAGATTCTCAAAAGTTCCAATGGTGGTCAGGAGAGCATAGGTCGCCTGTAATAACTGAGCACCTACTATGTGCCAGGGCACAAGCCAAGAACAAGGAGACTACTGGGAACAATAATAAATTATTCCTTCCTTCCAGGCATTCAGAGTCAGGGGAATCTGAAAGCAAATGAGGCCTGATGACACATTCAGAGATTTGATTGTTGCAGTATTGTTCCCCCAAGGCCCTTCAGAATTTTTCTTCTTTGCTTTTTAACAAAAGGAAAAAATCCAAACCATAGGGCAGTTGGGCTCTGTGCCTCTCTCACGTTAATTTTTATCTATGTGTGAAATCAGAGAGGAATTAAGCCTCAATTTGTGCTAAGAAAGATGGATGGGGAGCCACTACTGGCAAATTGGAGCCAAACAGAGCCATCAGTTGGCTTAATAAGGCAAGGAAGGGGAGCAGAGAGGCAGCCGATGAGCAACAGCTTGGGGAGGACAGATGGCCGGTGCCCCCCACCAGGGACAGTGTCCTCCATCTCCTCAGCTCCTGAGCCATTGGACAACAATGCTGGCTGTGTTTTGAGCACCTACTCTGTGCCAGGAATGGTGCCAGGAATGGTGCCAGGTCCCCTACATGCATCATTTCATTGATTTCTCACCACAGCCCTATAAGCAGGGTGGAATCATTAACATGCTTTAATAGTGAACTTGAGGTTCACAGAGTTTCCATGACTTGTTCTAGATCCACAGCAGGTGAGTGGCACAGGTGGGGTTTAAACCTCCACTTTAGGACAGGAAGGCAGTCAGGAGAGAGACAGACAGAAAGGCACACAGAGACACAGACAGGCAGGCGCGTGCACACACACACACACACACACACACACACACACACACACCTCTGTCCATGGTGCTGAAAGAAGTATTGGGGGGGTGGGGAAGGGGCTTCTTGGCAATGTCTTTGCTGTAAATCAGCACAATCCAGAGCAGAACAGAGAGCTATCTACCTTTTTTGCCCACTGCAAGTCCTTACTAGTCATGCAGTCATTCAACAAACATTTAATGAGACCCAAGTTATCTCCTAAAAATAAGAAACAGACTACTTCCTCACATTTGTCTATCTCCCTCCCGTTCACAAATTATTTTTTAATATTTCTTCATTCAATTTTTATGATAAAAGTAAGATATATTCTGGTAAAAAAATTTTTCAAGAAATTCAAAAGTGTAAAGATAGAAGCAAATCACTTTTGTATTTATGGTCTCCATAGATTTTTGCAAATAGCTCATTGAAATAAGTATGGCAGACAGACCATTTTGTAACTTGTTTTTCCCCCACTTAAAATATAGGGAGCATTTTTCTATGTTCTCAAGTATTCTTTAAGAACCTGATTTTTAATAGCATGTGAATGGAGTGCATTTATTCCACCAAACAGCTGTGAGTGGACATGTGTGTTGCTTCTCATTTTTCGCTCTTAAAATCATGTCAGCAGTGAACACTCTCATTCATAAATCTTGGTGAAAATCTCCAAATCTTCTTTTTAGCATAAATTCCCAGAACTTTAATGACTAAGTCAGAGTTTGGGAACATACTTTCTAGATTTTTCTCCAAATTGCTCTCCTGAAAGGTCATAGCAATTTGCATTCTAACCAGTTATGAGTGAGAATGCCCATTTCCCACCACCTTTCCCATTGGCAAGTTATGACTGCCTTTTACCTTGACCAATCAGGTGGATGAAAATAGAATACAATCTAGATTTGCCTTTCTTTCATTATGAGTGAGGCTGCATTTTTAGTGCTTACTAAGTACATTTTTAGTGCTTACTAAATACTAAAAGTGTATTTCTTCTTTTGTGGACTGCTTATTTATGTCCTTGATTACCATCTTATAGTGAAGAATCAGGGCACAGCCAGCACCATGGAACAATCCTTAAATCACAGTTGTTCCCTACCATGGAACACACAACGGGGTGGATCCGGTCATGGGATGAGGTCTCCTCTCAAACAAGATGAACCTCGTCCAAGATGGGAAACCTTTTATCATGTCTCCCTCTTTCAATCCTCTTGCTTTACACTAAAGGGTACGGGTGAGGATCTCTCTCTCTGCTCTCCTCTCATGATCACCCCCCCCTATTTTCCACCCCAGCCCCTTGTGGAGGGGCTGTGCACAATGCCACCATTGGCCGGGTCCTCTCCCCAAGTTACCCAGGAAACACCAATGGGAGCCAGTTCTGCGTGTGGACCATCGAAGCTCCGGAGGGCCAGAAGCTACACCTGCATTTCGAGAGGCTGTCATTGCATGAGAAGGACAGGTAAGCATCTGAGGGCTTACCCCAGCATCCTCCTTCCTTCCCAGAGTGTCAGAATGTGGCTAGGGATCTGGAGTCTTGAAATGGCTCATGGAGGTAGAGAAAGGAAGGGCTGGGGAGGCTGGCAAGGATACTAGACACCATCTTCGATCTCCTACTTTTACAGGTAAGGAACCTCAGACATACAGAGGGAAAGGGACTGGCCCCAGGGCGCATATCAGAATAGGGGAAGATGCCTATTTCTCCTGCACATCCCTTTTTGCAGTTATCAAGGAGGGAGTACTCGCTGAGCACCTGCTCTGCACCCAGACACATACTAAGCTCCATGGAGAACCAGAGAGAAGTAGCGAGACGTGGTTTCCAGTTTGATAGGAAACTGATGTGGAAATACTAGACAGGAAGGAGCTAGGGAGAAGTTACAAGGCGATACTTAAGCAAGAGCATGTCTGTAAACTCTAAGTAATACTCATAGAATCCAGAATCTTAAAACTTTCATATTCTATGACTTTATGCTAGAATATTCTCGAATATTCTAGAAAATAGGACCTTAGCTGCTTAGACTTGCTGCCTTAGGTTGTGTTCCCTTGGAAATGGACATGGGGACAAGGATGTTAGGGAAAGTCGCTCATTTGGGAGTTAATCCTAGGAAGCACTAATAGAGGCATGGGACAGTGGGCAGGGAAGGGAAAGGAGTCAACACAGTTTGTGTTAATGAGCAAGTGACCGTGGGGGCAGCTGGGGCTCTATCCACTGGGGGCCTCTAAGAAACTATTGAGCGTGCCTCAGAGTGGTCCTTTCGGAAGGGTGAGGGAGCTGGGGTATTTATCTACCACCACCCCCCATCCGTCATTGGATGAGAGATGCTCCTGGACACATTAACTCCCCAGCACTGCCCCCCACCCTTTGAACTGGTTGAGCTGACTAGGAAGCCAGGCCCCTCCTCATCCCAGCCACAGTGGACACATGGCAAAATGAACAAACTGTGGCTTCAACAGTTATGCATTTTGGTAACATTAGAAATTCATCTGGGCAGCATAAGATAAACCCTCTTTATGAGTCACAGTAAAAAAAAAAAAAAAACCACCTCAGAGGATTTTAAAATGTCTGTTTATGACTCCATAAAAGAAATTTATCTAATTTGTATACTATTTCTTTCCCTAGTTTTGCATAATTTCTTTAAAAATACCAAGACTAGCAAGGAGTCAAGTATCAAATGGTTTTAATAACAGTAAAAATGAATACCAACATTTTTTGTAGCACATTTTATTTTTCAGGGCACTTGATCCTGTTGTATTCTCAAAGCCCACCTGTAAGATAGGTAGGAGAGATGTTATGATCCCTCCTTTCATGGCTGTGGAAACTGAGGCCCACGATGTGCTGAGACTTACATAAACCCAATTGGTGGAGAATTGGGAAGTGAAAATCAGAACTCCTGATTCCATACACAGCGCTCTTAGGATATCGGAATAAAAGACAGAGCCTGTTAGGAGTCAAATGCTTAAAAAATTTGACTCATATACCTACTCTATCCTGGGCACATTATGCACATGACCTCTAATCCCTATACTCTGATGTAAGTAGGTGTGATTGTACCCATTTTACAGATGAAGAAACAGAGTCTCAGTGATGTGAAGTGTCCTTGTCCAAAGTCCCACAGCTCAAAAGGTCACGGCGCTGGGATTCTGGGTTGTCTGACTACCATTCTTTCAGCCCACTAATCTCTTCTTCTCAATTAGTCATAAAAATTAGTACCCATTAATTTGTCTGATTCATTACATCACACACATCATTTTTCCTACGACTTCAGAATCCATCCATGAGTCTAGGACAAGCATTCTACAGAAGAGGAAACAGGTTGCATAAGGTGGTGCAGCTTGTCTGGACAAGTCAGGGGCAAAGTTGGGATCTGCATCTGGAAATGAGGCTCCAGAGGTAGCATTCATTCCACAGGTGTAGTGATCCTCCTGTCCTTCCCCCTCCTCCTCCCTCCAGGATGATGGTCTACAGTGGCCTGATCAACAAGTCTGCTCCTCTCTATGACTCCCTCCAAACCGAGAATGTCCCCTTTGAGGGTCTGCTGAGTGAGGGCAACAGCATCCGCATTGAGTTCACGTCTGACCAGGCGCGAGCAGCCTCAGCCTTCAACATCCGGTTCGAGGGTGAGTGTCCGCGGGGGCCTCCCCCATACTGGGTGATGGTGTGGGCAAAGAGGAAGCATGGCAGAGCTGGGCTGGGTCCTGGGAGCTAGAAATCTGACCTGCTAAGGGCAACGGAGACCCAGGCAGCCAGACTGACCCTTTGACTTCCAAAGGCAGATTCTGCAGGGTTGGGAGGGCAGAGGTTTGGATTCCCATTTTAGAGGTGAAAATAATGAGGTCCCAAAAAGCGAAGTGAATGGTCCAAGGGCCCTCAGCTGGTCAACTGGAATTGAAACACGGGATCTGGTGCCCATTTTCCTTGGAGTTTCCCTAAACAGCAAGAGGGGACCCATCTTCTGAGATCGAGCACTGTGAGGAGCCCCTGCTTCATCTGAGCTGCTCCCCCTCTTTTGTATCCCCACCCTAGCCTTTGAGAAAGGCCACTGTTATGAGCCCTACATTCAGAATGGGAATTTCACCACATCTGACCCGACCTATAACATCGGAACGACAGTGGAGTTCACCTGCGACCCTGGCCACTCTCTGGAGCAAGGTCCGGCCATTATCGAGTGCATCAACGTGCGGGACCCATACTGGAATGACACAGAGCCCCTATGCAGAGGTGAGTGGCCCCACTGTCCTCCTCCCGAGGTGCCTCAGGGACCTCCAGCCCCTCAGATGAAAAGGCCAAGGGCTCAGTCTAGAAGTATATCACAAATTTACATAACCAATTTTAGCATTAGAACCCTTTCCAGGGCTCACTATCCTTTGGGTCAGATTTGTTGCTTGTCCTTAAGAAAATTACAAAATTGATAAATTTTTAAAGGTGCCCCTTCCTCCAAGCACAGACCTTGTAGTGCATAGCTTAGTGAAAAGATCTCTGTGTAGATTTCAGCTCCTCTATACCCCACTTGCTATGTACTTTTGTGCAGTGCACAACCCACCCAACCACACATGGCAGCCCTGAGTTTAATAAATGATGATGATGATGATATTAATAATAGTTGCCAAGGGCTACATGTGCGTTATCTGATTTAATCCTCACTACGACCCTGTGAGGTACATAGTATTGACCCCATGTACAGGTGAGGAACCTGAAGCTGTGAAGTGATATTCCTAAGAACAGACTAAGGGTAACTGGCAGAGGTGGAAATGAAACTTGGGTCTTTTCTGTCCTCAGAGCCCTGTGCTCTGAGGCCCTCTGGACAGCATTGGCTGGGTAGAACCTCATTTCCATGGGCTCCCCCTGCCCGGCCCTGACTCTCTTCCCATATTCAAGGCCACAGAGCCCCCTTGAGCCTGGATGCACTTGGAGCATGTGGTGTGATGAAGATAGCCCTGGCTCCGGCAGCCGCCGCCTGGTTGGCGGTTGGCATGAAATCACAGCTTCGTCGTGGTGAGGGATTGATCCCTGTATTAAATGTGCTGGTTTAACAGAGCGGAATTTATTGGTGCTTTGGCCTCTGCCACATTGAGAACTTTCCAAAGCGGTAAACGGAGTGGAATTTAAAGAGCCAGGCGCCGAGCACAGCCACATCTCTACTTCCAGCTCAGAGCTGGGCCCTTTGGCAATGATGTTAACTAAGAAGTATTGAGCCTTTACCCTGGGTCAGGTGCTCTGCTACATTTGACCCCCATGAGCTCAGTTAAACTCCAGAACAGCCCAACAGAGCCAGCAAGCAGTGGTGTTACTGCAGCTTTACAGAGAGAGGGAACTGAGACTCCAAAAGGTTGCATGCCTCGTCATTGAGTCTGTGGGGGCAGAGGCAAGACTCGAACCCAGGCCCACTTGAATGGAATGTAGCATCTGTTAGTCACTACTCACCCTGCCCAAGAATAGGGCTGTTGACAAATCATCGGGAACGTTAAGCTCTGTCCTTGATCCTCAAAGAACCACAGCGCCCTTAGCCCCTCCTTCACCAACCCTCAGCTAACGGAGGCAGGCAGCCAGCCCTAACTTAATCATCCCCCACACATGCACAGACTGCCTGAGGGGCAGGCACCTGCTCTTGGTACATGGCGAGCCGTGACAGTCTGACTTCATAGCCCTCACTTAATCCCCATGCCATACTGGCTTCCTTCTGAATAACGTGCATCTGTCTCTGTCTGTCTGTCTCTGTCTTCTACAGCCATGTGTGGTGGGGAGCTCTCTGCCGTGGCCGGGGTAGTTCTGTCCCCAAACTGGCCAGAGCCGTATGTGGAAGGTGAAGACTGTATCTGGAAGATTCACGTAGGGGAGGAGAAACGGATCTTCTTAGATATCCAGTTGTGAGTGTTTATGATGGGTGGACCTCCAGTCCAGCCTGATTGGGGAAGAGATGGCTCCCACTTTGTTCTTTCAGCCAGTGTTAATGAAGCATCTGCTAGGTGTCAGGGACTGTGTGCAAAGAGCTGGAGTCCCAGTGGTGGGAGAAACGACAACATCGTGCACGCACAGACAAATGAAAACATCATGCACAACCTAGCCTCCAGACATTCCGTCTATGGAGGAAGCAGGCATTAAAGGTAGAAATGCACCCACAATGGCATACTGTAAATTTGGTGAGCAATGTAAGGATACGTGAATGGTGCTATGAGATCTTATAATGGGGATTTGATATAAAGAGGACGGTCAGAAAAGCCTTCCCTGAGGATCTGATACTAAAGCTCAGAACTAGTGAATGAGTTGCAGTAAATATATCTGAAAGGAACAGAATAAGCGAAGGCCCTGTGGCAAGAAGAAGCACAGCATTTTCGAAGCACTGAACAGCCAGTGTGGTCAGGAGGAGGGGGGAGGTATAACGCGTAATGTCTGTACCATAGCAGGTTGTTTTCTTATCTGTCTCTCTCAACTAGACCCGAAGGTCCTTGTAGTCTACAGGGCTTGCTCTGATTTATCTCTGTCCCGGGATCTAACACAGAGCTTGCCACAGAGTTGGGCACTCAGGAGACCGGTGCTGTATGGAGAACTATTGTAATAGATGGAGTTACCCGGCTGTGTGGCTGTTTACTGTACTCACTGGGGGTGCCTATGAGATGCTCCATCCAGAACTTTCCCCCTGCTGAACTCCCCAGGGATGGGGAGAAACAGACAGAGACAGATGGTCATGTCTAGAGAAGGAAAAGAAAGGGCTTCTGGGCAGACCCAGACACCGTGGCTTGGACAGTGGAGGGCAGTGGGGGGAATGCCAAGTTCTGAAGAACCTCTCTGGAGGCAACCAGG